TATGTAAATGTTTTTACGAATAGGCATTCAGTTATAAATTAAGAAAATTTGATACATTTCCTATGGTTATACAATCAATAGTTTGTATGTAGTAGTATATATCCACACAGTAATTCAAAAACATGTAAAAATTCAAGAAGTGAGACTGGGTGCAGTCAGTATTAAAATCAAACTCATAAATAAATAAAAAAGCAACCTTATCTACATTGCAAATCAGGGGAATCTCATCATCTTAGGAGTCAAAAGCATTCAGTGGACCCAACACAGCTGAAACAAAACAAGTACTACTAAATGAAGATAATGGCGTTCGGGAAGATAAGATGAAGTTTCAAATATATTTACGGAAGAGGTGAAGTTTCAAAATTCGTTATGGAAGAAGTGATCTTTTTCGAGTTTCGTTTACTAGATAAATGAAGTTTCCATTTGTTTGGAGAAGATGAGGTTTCGATGGAGCAAATGAATATTTGGTTTAGGATTTGTTCGATTTCAAAGGAGAAATAAAAATAGTGTTTGTTTTGAAAACTTGGAGAAGTATAGTTATAGCCAGTTTGTTTTGGCTTTTATTAAGAGTGTTTTTTTTTATAGTCTTATATAATTTTGTGTAAAAAAATATATAATTTTTTTTTATAAAAGTGTTAAATAAAAATTTGGTTTGAATATTTATTTTTAAATTGTTATTTTATGTATTTCATTTTTTTATTGAAATTTTTTTGGATATTAAAATTTCAAAAAATTACTTAATTTTGAAGTTATTTCAAATAAGTTGTTATAAAAATTATTTTTAAATTTTTTGAAAAAATTGTTATTTTGACTATATTTTGATCTTCAATAATAGTACATGTTTATATTATAGGATGTCAAAATTAGTGTTTTAATTTAGAAAATCAAATATAAAAAACTTATAATATTTTGAAAAACAGTTTTGTAAGATCTATTTTTAAAAATACAAAGAAAAAATTCATTTTTTTGAAATTAAAACAAACGGATTTTATGTTGAAGTTTACCTATGGAAAAGGAATAGACAGCCCAAGTTTTAATTTTAAAAAATACAAAATAAAATAAAATGTGTGTCCCGTAAAAAAATTTCGCACCGGTTGTTAGTCCAACCGAAGTAATAGATAATATTTTTTAAATATAAAATTATAAATCGTAGTTGTTAGGAATTAGAGGCATGTCTCTAAGGACATTTTCCATGAGTTAATAGTCCAATAGGTAGTCTATTTTAACAAAATGGTTAAAAAGTGCCATGATTATAGAATACACATCAGTTGGTTATTAGTCGAGATGAAAATATGAAATCTATTATTTATTGTAGTGCAATTAGATATTGTGACCAATTAATCTCAAGAATCAAACATAGATTTGCGAGGATAATTTCAAAACCTAAATAAAAGTTTTACCAATATAATCTCAAGAAGCCAACAAAAACATCAAATAAGAGTATCACACTATTGATGAATAACAATGCAAAGCTATTGTTTGTTTGTCTCATGTCTCATATTGACAAGTTTAGTGCACTCAAAGCTCAAAGTTGTCCCCCAAGCGGGAGAATTGAAGGAAACAATGCTCCTCCAGAACAACGTAATCAAAAGAATGATTTTGATTGTTGTGTGCAAGAAAAAATTTACACAACTTATCAATGATCTCATCGGTGACTGATACTTTTAACAAATGTACTAAATGTTATTCAAAGTTTGGATTATTAAAGTGGCTTGTAGACATTTACACAAGACGATTAAAGTGCACTTGAAAGTAAAATTAAGGGTTTTCAATGTTTGGTTTAAAAGAATAATTGCATAAATAAAAATTTGTTGGAAAATTAATCAGATTAAAGATGATTGTGCCTTACTTCGAATTCCATGTATGTCACTTTTGATGATGGTGGCTATTTTCCCTATATTGATTTCTATGTGATTACGAAGGTTTAACTTCGACCTTATACCCAATTTATTGGTGTATAACTCATTATTCTACACCACGACTCCCTAATCATTTAGGTCAGCTGGATAGTCAAAACATACAATATTCTGTATGTTAAACCTTGAGCCAAATCTTATAGTTTATTATCCATAATCAGTTACTAAGTTGAACAATTAACTTAGATTAGACTCGTATAGTTATGTTTAGTAATTGATACGCATATAAGTTTGACATATGAATTTGTCAACACATATAAAACAATGAACATGAAATTAGTTGAATAAAGATATTGAATGAATCAAAAGTGCCAATAGTACAATACACAAACATATGATTTGATGGGTTCAAACAGGTTCATCTAGCAAGCCCTAATCAATAGAAATTTAACTACTCATAATAAAAGTAATCATAACTGAAGAATTAAAGAGACAATACATGAATCTTCAGTTAGAATTTAGCATCCAATGATGAAAACCTTCGCTTCAGAGCTCCAACACTTGCTTTCCCGTCAAAACTTTGTACCAAAAATGTCAAACATTTTTTCCTCCTCGTTTTACCTTCCAATAGTAAAAACGTGACACAAAAGGGTTGCATCACGCCACGATGATTTTACATTGTGCCACAATGGGATGCATTTCTCTCCACAATGTGGCCACGAAATTTCCAGGGGCAAAGTGCTCTTTTCGTCACAATTCTCTTATTTTTCTCCTTTTTGCCTAATTCCTTCACTTCTTAATTTCCTTTCTATTTATTTATCAAACTTAACTAAAATTACTTGAAACTGATTAAAAACACAACCAAAAGCTTATAAAAATTACATGATGATAGAGTATTATCGAAATCCAAAACTTACAATGTTACTTGTCCTCAAGAAACTCATTCATAAAAGTAATCATCATTATAACTTTGTACTTATCAAATCAATGACAAAAATCAATCGTTGTCAAGTTATCACTTATGTTCCTTACTTCAATTCAGTATAATCCAAAAAGTTTTTCTTCAACTTTCCATATACTCAACCATCTCTCAATCTCATTATTCACTCTTATTTGAAAGAAAATGGTAAACACTTATTCACATATAATTAACACCAAACATAGGAATTTGTCATATTTCTAAAAATTCTTCACTTTCTATTCGAAAATAATCTTTTGATATTTTCAAAGGTTGTAATGTGGCTTATGTATGGGTGCAATTTTGGGTCTATGTGGTTGTAGGTAATGAAGATCAGTATCTGAAATTTTTATGATGACAGCGTATGGTAATAGCTTTCAACCCTGATGATAACTAAAGCATCTTATGACTCATCAGCAAGAGGACTGAAGATCAAGTTCGTGTACAATTAGTTACTATCTATCAAAACTCTTGAAGCTCCTTTGAGAAAAGAGTGAAAGCTCGCCAAGTCATGTCTGTCTGTCTGAGTGAACCAAGTATTGTAAAAGTAAGGTGGTAGCTTAAGAGTACTAAGGAAACTCACACAAACACACTTAAAATGATTTTCTAATCCAAAACCAAATTATTAAAAATATTTTCTATACCTTTTTCAAACCTTTTTTAACCTTTTAATCGATTGGAAATATGTGTCAATCGATTGGCAAAACTTTTATAACCTACCAATCGATTGGGGCACTATGTTAATCAATTAGAAGAGTGATAATATATTATAAAATCAAATGGACAACACATAAATTATTTCAATGGGTCTATATCCAAACTTTCCTATTTGGGTCTTACAATCGATTATATTTTAGTTGTCTAATCGGTTTGAGCATTTGGCCAGCCGATTAGATAATCAATTCGGCATATGGATTATTTCCTTTCTTGAGTTTTTAAACTACTATATGAGAGAGGATATCCCTAACTTCAAATCACGCCACTTTCAAAAAAAATCATATTTCTTTGGAATTTATATATCTCCGTGTCTTTAAAAAATATTCTTATTCACTTCTAATTGTCTTAGTGTTACTAAGTGGAGCTTTACTTGTGAGGAATATATTTTTGTAAGTGATCGTGTTGTTTGTTTATATTCTTAATGGTGTGATACCTTTAAGAGATTGAGTTTGATTCTTGAGATCAACCTTTATAAAATCTTTGTTCTTGGTTTATTAAGCTTTTCCAAAAAAAGCTCTATTTTGGTTATTGAGATCAGACATAAATCTCTAAATGGTTCGATAGTTTATCCTGGGTTAAAAGTTGTCATTTGGTTAGAGATAATCCTGTTAAAATACCAATATCATATTTTATTAAAGTTTCATTAGCATAACCTTCAAAAACTCATAGTTTATAATAAAACTCTCAAGAATACCTCTTGGGGACAGGTCTAGGCCAACGTTCGACCAAACCTGTATAAATCTTCGATGCAATCATTTTGACCCTTTTCTTTCATTTTCTATAATTTAATTTCAGCTTTTTATTTCTATTGTGATTACTCATCTAAAAAATTACTAATGCAATCTTATTCGGGAAAGGTTGAAATCAATCACGAATTTTAAATACCATAATTCATCTCATTCTCTTGCTTGAAGTTAGTTGTCCAACAACAATATGTTCCATTGCGGGACCAGAATTGGTGAGGATTGCATAAACTATAGAAGAGTGAAGCTTATAGAGCACCCTTAGAGGTCCAACAACAATATGTTCCTTTATGACATCATGGATCAAAGGTTGTGATGACAATGCTTCTTGAACTGGAGGTATCGGTCTTGATGCAAGATTGTTAGTCGATGTTTATATTCTCTGATATAGTGGGCCTAGGGGGTACTTGTATGGTTAGCAATCCAACACCCAAATCAGTTAGGGTTCAGGATAGTGGTAGTGAAAGTGGGATTAGAGGTTGAGTATATGAAAACCTTTTACAAGGGTATTTGTACCTTGGGTCTGATGGGGCAGATTGGATAATGGGCCTCGGGCTATTGGTCTTTGATCGGTACGGAGTAATGGATCATTAGCCTTGGACGGAACGAAATAGTGGGTCCCGGGTCTTGGCCGACACGAAACAGTCGCCCTTAAGACTCGTCAGTCATGTTTGATGCTAGGGGAGTTTCCTAGTAGTCGTGTTTGACCTCTAAGGGTGCTCCTTCATGCGTTGGTTGGCATGTGCCGCTTTGGTTTTGCCAAAGAATGATGGGGATGTGAGCATTAAATGTAATCCCATTAGTGGGGAATTTCGCTATTTTTCTTTAACGTGTGACGTGAAAAGGTATGGGACTATGTGACGCAGCTTTTCGTGTACTTGAGTACACTTGAGTACGGTTGTCTTCCACAAATAAATTATGACTCTTGATTTACCCCTGTTTCTTGCTTTCGATCTGATTCATTTGATTGCCTTTGTCTATATAAATAAGGAGAGAGAGAGAGAGAGAGAGAGAGAGAGAGAGAGAGAGAGATTTTGGAGAAACTTTTTACCCATCTTGCAGACTGAGTTTCCCTTGTATCTTTGAGTCTTTTCGTCTTATCTAAGAACATTCGTCTTAACTGGAGTCTGAATTGTTGTCCTCCCCCTCTGCCAGTGGGGATTTTGAATCAATAGTCATCATTTTGAGTGATGATTCAAAAATGGAAGGGTCGTCTGGAGAATTTCTTTCAGACGAAGTCCTTTCTTGGGATTCTTCAGAGATTATGTTTCTAGTGAAGTCTGACGAGGGTGAAAACCTTTCCAATAAACTTATTCATCTTCCTGTCTTGACCGAGGCAGAAATAGAGGTTGTTGGTCAAAGGAGGGAACGTGTCGGTCGCCTCGTTGACACATATCGGGAAGTAACTAACCTGGAGTGATGATCAACTTACTCTTCATGTGGAGTGCCAAGGGTAGCATGATATTGTGTTCTGGATCATTCATGGTGATTATCAAAGGCCCTAAAATATAGTTGCAAGTATTCGAAGGTGTATCCTCTAAATACGTTATTCTTCGGTTTCCAACTCAACAGAGGTAATAGGTCATAAAAAATTAAAAGGTGCTCAAAATGTAGTTGTTGGGATTTGAATGGGTGTCCTCTAAATACTTTACCCCTTGGTTGTCAGCTCAATTGAGGGAATATATGATGTTTTAAAAAAAAATTGAAATGTAACGCGTCTATGGTTTACACCTCGGCTTTTTGTTGGGTGAGGTGAAAGTTTTATCATAAAATATATTATTTGTAGTAGTGAACTCATATTCAGAAGATCTAGATTTTTAAGTTGAGCAAGCTTCAATTAAGTGAATCAATATATGAATGTTCAATTATGAAAAACTCATGAATCAGATATCGACTCTCATAGACGGCGTCACTATTATGTGCAGAAACTAGAATTAATCAGTAAATGATAAATGTGGATCACAATAGTGGACTTGATTTTTCGGTACGATGGAAGAGGGGTGACCTGCAAAATTAACACTTCAACACTTAAGTCAGTGTGAGAGTAAGATGAATTGAATGAGATTTAAATTTAAATTATTTGAGAAATGGTTTGTTCTCTCTCTTATATAGTAGGGCGATTATAACAACTTTTTTATCTATGAACGTGAGATACGGATATCTGTCTAATTGATCTTGGATTGAGATTAATTGCTTTCTTGTCTAAGATAGTGCACATGCTCCACATATGGTACAGTGGATTGTTATGCTCTTTAGGCCGTAATTATTGAGCCCTTAGGACAATGTATAACAGGTACTTTACAAAGTAAGGGATGTAGTTACTGGTACGAAATATACTGCATTAACAAAATATATGATATGAATGCGACCTTAAAAATTAAGATTTATTCAACTGAATTTCTAAATAGGAGCATAAATCAATCTAGTACAAGAGAAACCTACAAAGTACCATTCAACTGAATAACTAACTTTGTCCTTGATTAGATGCTTACCTTTTAATACATAATCTATTAGTGTTCAAAATAAATATTGTATAACTGAATTTCGCATTGGAATTTCACTTCCCTAGGTTTTTTCTGATTTTATTTATTCATAAAGAACTAATTACAAGAATCAGTAGTTGTAATTGGCTAAACATCAAACTAGTGTAGAAATTGTTGTTTGACGTCAAAAGTGATCCTATTACATACCTTTGACTCAAAATCTAATCTTTTGCATGCTATTACAAAGCCAACCAAATTACTTTACAAACAGAGTGGAGTTCTCTATATATACTTACTTAAATGTCCCCCAAAATCATCAAGCACTAACAACAACAACTACGGAAAGAGAAAAAACACAGTTGCATACACAAAATGAAGATATTTTGCCCCAACGTTTCTTCTGTATTGTTTGTCTGTCTGATATTGACAAGCTGTGTGCATTCTAAAGCTCAGAGTTGCCGTCCAAGCGGTAGAATCGAAGGAAAGAAAGCTCCTCCAGGACAATGCAATCAAGAGAATGATTCTGATTGTTGTGTACAAGGAAAAATGTACACTACTTATCAATGTTCTCCATCTGTATCTACTTACACGAAAGCATATCTCACTCTTAACAGTTTCCAAAAAGGTGGAGACGGAGGCGGCCCTTCAGAATGTGACAAGCAGTATCATTCCGACGATACTCCAGTAGTTGCACTTTCCACCGGATGGTTCAACCACGAGAGCAGGTGCCTCAAAAACATTACCATCAGTGCTAATGGAAAAAGTGTGGTGGCCATGGTTGTTGACGAGTGTGACTCCACAAAGGGATGCGATAAAGATCATGATTACCAACCTCCTTGTCCAAACAACATTGTTGATGCTTCCAAGGCCGTGTGGAAAGCTTTAAATGTGCCTAAAGAACAATGGGGTGGCCTTGACATTACTTGGTCAGATGCTTGATTGATTGTAAAAGATGAAATGTATCTTTGTGATTGGGCTGTAATATTACTTGTGTGATTAATATGGTGTACTTTTATTTCTCATCTTATGTGTGTAGATTATGTAAATGTTTTTACGAGTAGGCATTCAGTTATAAATTAAGAAAATTTGATACATTTCCTATGGTTATACAATCAATAGTTTGTATGTAGTAGTATATATCCACACAGTAATTCAAAAACATGTAAAAATTCAAGAAGTGAAACTGGGTGCAGTCAGTATTAAAATCAAACTCAAAAAAAAAAAAAAAAAAACAACCTTATCTACATTGCAAATCAGGGGAATCTCATCATCTTAAGAGTCAAAAGCATTCAGTGGACCCAACACAGCTGAAACAAAACAAGTACTACTAAATGAAGATAATGGCGTTCGGGAAGATAAGATGAAGTTTCAAATATATTTACGGAAGAGGTGAAGTTTCAAAATTCGTTATGGAAGAAGCGATCTTTTTCGAGTTTCGTTTACTAGATAAATGAAGTTTCCATTTGTTTGGAGAAGATGAGGTTTCGAAGGAGCAAATGAATATTTGGTTTAGGATTTGTTCGATTTCAAAGGAGAAATAAAAATAGTGTTTATTTTGAAAACTTGGGGAAGTATAGTTATAGCCAGTTTGTTTTGGCTTTTATTAAGAGTGTTTTTTTTTATAGTCTTATATAATTTTGTGTAAAAAAATATATAATTTTTTTTTATAAAAGTGTTAAATAAAAAATTGGTTTGAATATTTATTTTTAAATTTTTATTTTATGTATTTCATTTTTTTATTGAAATTTTTTTGGATATTAAAATTTCAAAAAATTACTTAATTTTGAAGTTATTTCAAATAAATTCTTATAAAAATTATTTTTAAACTTTTTGAAAAAATTGTAATTTTTACTATATTTTGATCTTCAATAATAGTACATGTTTATATTATAGGATGTCAAAATTAGTGTTTCAATTTAGAAAATCGAATATAAAAAACTTATAATATTTTGAAAAACAGTTTTGTAAGATCTATTTTTAAAAATACAAAGAAAAAATTCATTTTTTTGAAATCAAAACAAACGAATTTTATGTTGAAGTTTACCTATGAAAAAGGAACACTATGCCAAATAGGGGATTAGACAGCGCTTTTTTAGGCCTTTAACAGCGCTTAAAAGCGCTGCTAAAACCTCCGCTGCTAAAGGTATAGACAGCGCTTTTAATGTGGAACTTTAGACAGCGCTTTTATCAAGCGCTGTCTATTTCCCCCCTTTAGCAGCGCTTATCCTTATAATTGTTTAATTTTTTTTTCAATCACTTTAGACAGCGCTTTGTAAAAGCGCTGTCTATTACCCCCCCCCCCCCCCCCCTTTAGCAGCGCTTTTCCTTATTTTTTTTAAAAAAAAAATTTTTCAATCACTTTAGACAGCGCTTTCATGAAAAGCGATGTCTATTACCCCCCCTTTAGCAGCGCTTTTCCTTATTTATTTTTTTAAAATTTTTTTTTCCAATCACTTTAGACAGCGCTTTCATGAAAAGCATTGTCTATTACCCCCCCTTTAGCAGCGCTTTTCCTTATTTATTTTTTAAATTTTTTTTCCAATCACTTTAGACAGTGCTTTCATGAAAAACATTGTCTATTACCCCCCCTTTAGCAGCGCTTTTCTTTTTTTTTTTTTCAATCACTTTAGACAGCGCTTTCATTTAAAACAAAACGCTGCCTATCAAATTTATTCTCACCGTTTTTGCACCAGAAATTATAGCTTCATTATAATATTTTAAACAACAACAACATTAATATATACCACAATGAAACAATATTATAACATCAATATTCATCTCTTAAATCCTTTTTGCACAATATACACAACAACAAGATTAATATATACCACAATGAAACAATATTATAACAACATCAATATTCATCTCTTCAATCCTTTTTGCACAATATACACAACAACAACATTAGTATATACAACAATGAAACAATATTATAACTACATCAATATTCATCTCTTCACTCCTTTTTGCACAATATACACAACAACAACATTAGTATATACAACAATGAAACAAAATCCACGATGAATATATAACTCTATCTTCTACATCGAGCTGCACCTATATAACCGAAAACAAAATCAAAAAATCAAAATTCATACAAGTTACCAAATAACAACAACAAAAACAATAATATTGTAACACAACTATAACGACATATATTATATTCTCAAAACTCAAAGTTATACCTTATAATAAAACTCTCAACTCCATAACAAATTGGCACCAATTCTCCATAAGTTCATCCAATTGATCTTTTGAGTATGAAGCACACTTGAATTCATCAAAGTACTACATAATAATATAACATAGTATGATTTAATTAAAATACTATGTCATTTTATGAGAAATATGAAAATAATTCCTAAGTTAGAAATTCATACCGTGAATGGAATCTCTAATCGGTCCAAAAGAATAGTTTCTTTCATAAACCTCAACATAAAATAACCGCAATCTACACCATTGCACTGACGAGGACACTACACATGGAAAGAAAATACGGATATACATCAAGATATACACCTTAACTTGTTTTATCAAGTATCATCGCTATATAATCAAAACTGTGAAAATCTATACCTCCACTTTGATCCAAGAAATATTGTTGACTCTACTCCTTGGTACTTGAATATCTCTTTGTGCTCGAAAACTTTATAGAATGCTATAATAAAATAATAACGAATATTTAGAACTATCGCACATAAATAATTAAATATACACAGTAATATTTTGGAATAATGTCACTTACGTGTCAATCGTCTTCTTCATATCTGAGTATGTTGTCCAATCATTGCCCAATGAATCCAGATAATATACAATTTCTCTCACAGGATTAATTGCAACTAATAACCAGTGTCCACTGGAATATTAAACAAAGGTTAGATGGAAATTTTCTGCACAACATTAAAAAACGAAAAATTATAATAGAGGTAATTTA